CTGCCATTGTTGCAGGTTTTCTTGCACTGCTGTAATCTGTCTTCTTGTTTCTTTTCTCGTTTTTCTTCTTTTTCTTTTCTTTATCCTCCAACAGCTGCTGTAATCTCTCTTCTTGTTTATTTTCTCGTTCTTCTTGGTTTTTTTTTCTTGTTCTTCTTCTTTATTTTCTCGTTCTTTGTTTTTTTTTTCTTGTTCTTCTCGTTTCTTTTCTTGTTCTTCTTGTTTCTTTTCTTGTTCTTCTCATTTCTTTTCTCGTTATTCTTGTTTCTTTTCTTGTTCTTCTTGTTTCTTTTCCCGTTCTTCTTGTTTCTTTTGCTGTTCTTGTATTGCTGCCATCAAATCTGCTAAGCTGTAGTTTGATTTGCCACTTCTCATTTCCATTTTTTTTCTTTTCCGTCCCACTCTCTGACACCAATTTGTTACGCCTCTGTGTTCGTTGGTTAATTTTTCGTAGAAATTCTTTCCGAAAAACTTCAGCGATACAAGTACTTTCTTAAATAAAACTTGTTTATTCTTTCTCAACTCAACTTTGCAATACACTTAATTTCCACAGTCATTTTATTTTAAACACACGCTAGAATTCACAACGATTCACGCAGTTTACTTACGGCTTGACTCGATTATCTGTCTCTATATCTCTCTGTCTCCAATTATCTCTGCCGTCACTTCTTGCCTGTCTTATATATACAAAATAGAGGGCGTCTGGCCAACACTAGGACGTTCGACTGGTTTCTCGATCTTTCTAGAACTCCAAAAGAACTCCAGCGCATGTTCCCAGAGTCGCGCGACTTCCGCTGTCGTAACAATATTAATTTAGCATTATTGATTAATTATGGCTACTAGATTTATAAACGTAAACTCACACGTCTGTTCTAAACATTTGAACTATAAATCCTGTTTCCGGGTCTGTAAAGTCCTCGAATAATGATAGCGTCGATAAGAGTCCTAGAGAACTCCCGAAGAACTAAAATAACGTCATCAAAATATTCTTATCCAGCAACTTTGAGGTTTAAGGAAATAAAATATTTCTGTTTTGGTCTGCTGTTTTAGATTATATCTCCCGCATCCTATAATCATCTTATTTACTCCTCTGAACAAATAGTTAAATACAAGTCAATCATTGTAGGCTTATAGCCACTTTTTCAACTTTGTCATTTATTGCGTGAACTGTATATACAGTTGCAATATGAACATCAGAATATAACATGAGAATATAATAATGAAATTGAAGTACGTATTTCAATAATGATGTTGCATCCAACAATGAATTAGGACATAATGGGATAGTTATTGATAGAACATATGTTTTCCCTCATTGATATTGTTCGGTCATAACCTTTACCTTTAAATCATGATTCATGACGTAATTATAGCGTGAAACAGCCTTATAAAAAAGGTTAACTACATCTCATATGTTAAAAGAGTGTGCTAAGGAAGTTTTGAATTCTACAGAAAAGTTCGTTGTTTAGACTTTGTTCTTGTCAATACGATGCTCGACTTCCATTTCAACTATATGTTCAAGTGCAAGTGAAACTGTGTATAAGACTTGACCTTACTTGACAATACGAGTAATAACCTTCAGTGGGTGTCGCCATAAATGGCGAAATGTTTTATTTTCGGTTTGCATCATAGATTTCCTCACAGTTTGATGTAACACGTTGGGTGCGCATTTGTGCAGATCACAACTCATGTTTTGATTGACAAAGGTTATCTTGTTTATGTCATGCAGAATGTGTTTATTTTTAATTTTTATTGCTCAAGTAGTTTCAAAGAGGGCTATGTATGATCATTTATTTTTATTATTATTATAGCGAAATTTGTTTAATTCTTCCTCTTCTTTGAGCTATGGAGAGAGAATAATAGTTTGATATTATTTCTAAATCCATCGGAGTTGTTTTATATCCCGTTTGGCAAATTTTACTTTGGTCCGGCTTTCACCCATTCCAGTTTGTAACAACTCATTCTTCATAGTTTTCACTTCTTCGTGTATATCAAAATGTGATATTACATTGACTACTTGTGTTTATTGTGTGAACCTGTAATTTATATTTAAATAAACAAGTTTATTTATTTGAAGTTTAATGTTTTTGATAGGGAACAGAGTATGGAGAAAAGGGAGACTCTGCTATGAAAGTAAGCATAAATATTTTTATTAGTATTTTAGTTGTTCAAAGTCCGTAGGCTGTATGTGTTTTAACATTTTGTTTTTGCATATGCAGTTGTATATATGTTTGTTTAACCTGCCATTAAATATTTAAGTAATCGAACAAATCGTTAGTATTATTAGTAAGTTGAAGTGTAATGGTAACAGAGTAGATAAAACATTAATGACCATAATGTCTATTTTGTCTGAAAATACGAAAGACTTTCTCAAATGAAAATAATTCAGTTGTTTTGAAATATTTAACTCTAGTATCGTCAAAATGCTTAATAGAAGAGAGTAAATTTCTATGCGAGTACTCACACAATTCGAACCGAACGGACAAACGAAACGAGTGAAGTGAAAAACACACTAAAGTTTGAACTTTCTTGTACGTTAGTGCATGCATTGCCAGACTTATAAGATAACCCTATAAGTGTAAGTACACTTACAACTTGCGAGTAAAGTAAAGTCACGGAAGAAAAATATCGTACTACTGTATTATGTATATATTTATTGACGCTATAAATATAATTATACATATTTACATAGCTTGCGTAAAGTACCCATGACTGCAGTAAGCACTTTGAATATTATTTGAAATTAATTTTGGATGCAATATGTGTAAAAAAATACATGATGTTACGATAAAATCACATTAGATTTGTTGTTTCAGTTAAAACTAAAACTAGTAAAAGTAACATCATGTTATTCGGCCTTAGACTTATAGAAAAGAAACAGAGACCTACATTGTTCGAATGATTAGAAATTAGAATAGTAATGGTTTTATATGCAGTGTATGTATGTAAAATTCTGTGTTTCTAAACCAATATTTTTATCCAGTCAGTGTTAAATCAGTATAACTATTTTATTATTTATTTTTTTATAGACAAGAACAGTAAATGGTGGTCTTGAGGTTCACATACACTTTTGGATTGGAGCTCAGTGTTCAAAGGTATATATGTATATATATTTTTAAGGATTTAAAAAAGTTTCATTGCCTTACATTCTAAATTTGTAACTGCAATACACAGCACAGCTGGACCATTGTGCAGCTTTGTATTTAACTGCAAACAAACAAAATTATACTTCTTCATGTTTGATGTGAAAATATAAAAAAGGGACAGAAGTGTTGTAGTTTTGTTTTAATCAGCAAAGACAGCATTGTTTACCTGCACTTAAAAATGTGGAGGCATTGTTTATAGGCTTCAAGTAATTATTCTATAGAAATATAGTCGCATGTATTAAACAATTGTAATCTGTTAAACTGAGTATTTAGCTTGTTATTTAATTTATACATCTTTGAAAAGTTGAAAAATGATATTATCACAAAAACATTTTCATTGATTTTTTAAAAATCATCAGTGTTGTAATTAAGCCTATATAAAACTGCATGAAAAGAGGCTTGCAGTTTGAAAGGATATATATATATTGTTACATCTCTGTGTTCGTTTGTTAATTTTCCGTAGAAATTCTTTCCCAGGAACTTCTGCGATACAAGTTCTTTCTTAAATAAAACTAGTTTATTCTTTCTCAATTCAACTTTGCAATACACTTAATTTCCACAGTCACTTTAACTTAAACAAATGCTATAATTCACAACGAACGATTCATGCACTTTACTTACAGTGGTTATCGGTGTTTATAACTTCAATCTCCCTCTCTGCTACTCCAGTTTCGAATGATCCTCTCCTTTGTCTGGCGTGCTTATATACAATCAAAAATGCGCGCGTATCACGCACTAGCATCTTCATGAATCTTCTAGACACTCATCTCGTGTTACCAGCGTCACGTGACTTCTGCTGTCGTAACAATATATATATATATATATGTATATAATGTAAAAATGAGAAAAGTATGAATTAAATACTAAAGTGAGACTAGTTTATTCTATGTAAACTTTTACCTAAAATGAAAGGATATGTATATGTACCAGCTGGAGTACCCAGTCAGTGGGACAGGTGAAATAAAAACTCATTTGCAACAAAGGATAGGAAATTGTGCTTCTATATTTTTGTAACATAATAAACATTAAAAGTTGAATAAAAGTACATAAAGGTACCAATACTGAAAAGAAAAACATAATGTTTTCAAGAATTCTATTAACACGATTGATAAAGAAATGTGAAAATGTATAAGGAACAGATACACACACACATATTGATGTTTATTTATATAGATCAGATACTTTTCTGATTAAGCTTTAAAAAATGCTTTTAAACTACTCTTTTAAGCAAAATGACAATCAGGTTTTTAAACTATAATAAATACAATTATAAAATCAGTTGTTTAAACAACATCTTCTTTGATTCTGCAGTTCATGTATTATTTATTATAAGAAATTCTGAAGTATGCTATAATTATAAAATAACAACTTTAGTTTAAAAATATCTTTCAATAAAATAATAATTCCTCCATGTGGTAAAATAATTGTGGTTCTAAAAATCATCATAAAATAGTCTGTGATATTTGGTTTATATAGATTTATTTGGATATTTTAGTATAATATTTCAAATTATAATGAAGACTTTCTAGTTTGTTGAAGTTTAAACTGCCTATAAATATTTTAGGGCTTATAAAATTTAGTGCTATTGAATATGCTTAGGAAATTATAAAAAACGTGTAATTATGTCTTTTTAGCATGGGAGTCTGTTAAAGTAGAATCTAACATCTTTGAGATTTAATACCTGTTCATAAGCTTCACAGGTACAAAAACTACAATGAGTAGATAGGTGCTTACCCTAAAGTAACAAACATATAAAAATTACTTTCACTATTTGCATGTTGTTTTTGAAAGTGGTTGATCCTAATAAAAAAAAAGTCAAAAACAAACAGAAAGGCTAATATACAGAGACATGAGAAAAAGGTAAGGCTAATATATATGGACCTGGGAAAAGGTGAGGCTAATATATAGAGACCTGGGAAAAGGTAGGTGATAACAGAAGCTTACTTCCTGAACTGAAGTTAGTGTTCCAGGTTATCGAAATTTTCAAACAACCTTTGTTGTACCAATGAAAACCTTATAAGATAAGTTTAGAACATACTTATACATGAAAACAAAACATCATAATTACTCTAAGTTAATTGAATTGATTCGATGAATGTAATTAGTGGAACTCAAAAGAAAAATGTTTGAGATCTGTATTGATGCTCATTAACTGAATAATAAAAATATAAATTGATTACTTGTTTTCTCAGTTTTTAAAGACTTTACTTTGGAAAAATTTGATATTGTGTATAAAGTATTACATGTAGGTTTTAGTGACCAAGAGTTATAAATGATATGATTAAAATGTTAAGTGTTATTTGAAAATGTATTTTAAGGACAATGAACTAGGATATAGGCTCAAGTATAAAACTGAATTTTGCAAAAGGTATTTTTAAAAAGAGGAGTGAATTTAAGATATAGGGGTTGTATGTATAGTGTAACCAGCTAGCTCTTTCAATTTATTTTTCTTACTAGGATGAACAAGGTGTGGCTGCAATCAAAACTGTTGAGCTAGATGACTACTTTGGTGGTTTTCCTGTTCAGCACAGGGAGGTGGAAGGCCATGAGTCAAAACGTTTTATCTCCTACTTTAAAAAAGGCTTGAAGTATGTATAGCCAGAAAAACAGTCCATTTACTAGTCTTATTGCTGTGCTGTTGATTTGAAATATTTTACATTTTATATGAAAACATAATTTTGTGTTTTGATACTAAAATAAAATATATTTAATATCAGTCCATTATATTATATGTTTGTACTTAGGGTGCTAGAAGGTGGAATAGCAAGTGGGTTTCGAAAAGTTGACACATCTGTCAAACCATGTCTTTTGCATGTTAAAGGGAAGCGAAAACCTATCATTCGTCAGGTCTGTGGTCTTAATGTGAAAACTATCAGATTTTTTTAAATTTAAAGAGCAATTGTACACTATGTATGTATGTTGTAATATTATCATCAAACAATCTTTCTCACACTTAACATATTAGCAAAATTGTTAATATCTGATGGAAAATTTAAACTACATCTATCAATAATTTGTTTGATGGATATAATTGTTCTGAGAACAAGCTAGTATTCAGATTCTGGTTTCTCTTGCCTTGAATTAATATATATTTAATCAAAATATAGTATTAGATGCTCATATGTGGAAGAAACTTGACTCTTTTTGTTTCTGTCACTGCTTGAATACATTTTACCAATACTTTCACTTGAACTTTTTTTTTTTAATTCTGGTGTTTTAGAAATATACTGAACAGTAAAGAAAAAGCTAATTTTACTTAACTTGTGAACTACCTAGGTTTCTATTGTTGTGGATTATAATGATTATGTATATTAACTTAGGTCTGCTTTTTTTGCATCCTTTCTTATAACAGTAAATATTTCTTTTGCTATGAGGTAATTCTGTAGACTTGGTACTGCTATGGTAATATTTACACCTTAACCTACTCTTAAAATAATTGTTTTATTTAGCTGTGATGGGATTTATATGTTTGTATATTATACATTTCAAAATCATTTACTCAAATAAAGTCTAAAATAAAATATTTTGAAGTGTTACTTGTTGAACTAAACCAAAAGCTTATAGAGGTAGAGCTTTCATAATTTACTAAATAATTCATCAGTAGTTAGATATGGGGAACAGTCTGAAAAACTGTATCCTCCATGATACTTTCAATATTTTTATTGTAATATGTATGTTTCAAATGGGAACTTGGTTGACATTTTAGCTATGACCAAAAGTGTATTCTTATTTTTAATTTTTAGACTCGAGGACTTGGCTGGGAATATCTAAATGATGGTGATGTTTTTGTGCTTGATGCAGGAGAGGTTATTTATGTGTGGACTGGTAAATATGCAAACAACATGGAAAAAATTCAGGTGAAGTTCAAAGCTGTCCATTTATCACAAAATGTGTAAATAATCCTGAATGTATTATTTACAGATTTTCTGTTTTGATTCTGTGGTGACATTTGCAGTATATAAAATTGTGTTCAAGTTGTGTAGTACTAGTTCAAAATTATTTAAAACAAATTAGATATTTCAAGTACAATAATAGACAACCTGTTCCAAAAGATGAATTACAGCTTCTCACAACACTTAGAAGCTGTTAAAATTCAAATGTCTAGGCCTGTATTAGACTACTGATAAATGAAAATTATAAATGTTATTAAAAATAAATTCATATATTCTCTTCTTTTTTTCAAAAAATAGTGTTCTATTCAGAATGAGATCATGATATAACATAAATTTTGTGGACGACAAGAGTCCTGCTGGTCTATTGAGGCTATTCCATCCACTAAACTAAACTATTAATAAAAAATGCAAATCAAAGCCAGTCCTTATCATTCAAATATATTTCCAACCTGCCTTTAAGCTCCTTTAAATACTACTTCCACCACATGTGAAGGCAATTCATTCCAAAGGCCAACTACCCTGTTAGAAAAATAAAGTTATTTAGCTGAAGATGGCTTCCATTCTGAAAAAACATTTTGGTGAGCAGAGCACAGATAGCCCATTGTGTAGCTTTATGCTTAACTTAAAACAAACAAACTATCTGAAAAAATTTATATTTATGTCCCCAGTCCTACCATTTTCACCATTAAGTATTATCCTGGTAGCCCTCCTCCAAATCCTATCCAACAGTTTAATACCCTTCCTTAGATAAGGAGTTCAAGTCTGAACATAGTACTAACCAGTGACCTATACAATGAATTCATAATATCTTTTGACTTGTATTCAATTTTTTTGTAGATACAACCTAAAATCCTATTTGCCCTACCACTAGCAATAGCACTCTGCTTGGATGTTGTAACATCTATATAGGTTCCCCAATATAAAGCTTAACAGTCTTTTGTGAAAAAATACCCAAGATTTGATTAGCAGATCATTGCAGAATCTACTTATATTTAATAAATAATTTTATATACATGTATGTAATATATTAAATTCAACATTGGATAATTCACTACAGTAGTGCATCAATTATTAGATTTTAGGTAACTGGTCTATATAATATCAATTTGTTTTTACCTCTAACAATTAAGCTTTTAATTATAATTTAAAAAAGTTGTTTAATTTTAGGTACTTTACTTACAAAGAGGTTTTTTTTTTCATGTGGTTTAACAGAGGTGGGAGGATTTAAAATTAACATGTTTTTTTGGTACTGAAGTGAAACTGAATGATATATTGCTGTAAAAATTTCATTTTTAAAAGCACTTACCTATTTTTCATGCTGTTGTGTTTCCTTAGCTTGTTTTTAAAGATTGCAAAGGTTCTGTGACTAAACACTAAAGATTACTGGAGTTTATATTTTTTATATTTCTTTATGCAAAAATCTTAAAAATGAAATTGGTGACTATGAACTTTTAATATGTATATCTACCTGTTTGCTCATTCACTCTATGGATACCTACTGTATATAGCATCCAACCTTATCATATTTAGTGAAGGTATGTAATATTATTTTATTTTGCATCTTTTTAACATACAGGGAGCGAGAACTGCTCAACAATTGAAATCTGATCATGGGGGAGGTTCAATAGTAATAATTGAGGATGGTAAAGAAAAGTCTTTGCTCAAAGAAGAAAAACAGGTAAAAAATATCACTTTCATTCTTCCTAAAGATGCATAGATAGTATTTGTAATGTGACAGGTTAATCCACTTTTTCGTTATTTTTATGTGGTGTTGATGTTGAAGATTTCAATTATTTTTAAAATGTTAAAATGCATTTCTAAATTTGTAGAGATAATAACGTAAATAGTAATTTCATTTGAGACATATTTCAATAAAAAAGTTCTTAAATTTTAAATTTAATATCGAATAATAACTGTTGACATATGTATGCCATCTTTATATTTTTATAAGTGACAATCAGTAATTCATTAAATGTACATGACATTTGTTAGCAGAAAATTATAAATAACTATAGGGAGGGTATGCATGTGTTAGTAATATTGTTTTCAGAAAAAACCTTTTATCATTTTTAATATACAATTTTAATTTCTACCCTGATTAATTTCCTACACCAATACATTCCTTGTTTCAGTGCCATTAGTTATTTATTTCCTTTTCTATTTTTCAACAAGAATAAATGGCTAGGAAAAAGTTGTGGATCTAGCTACTTGCCAGTTCAACTAATTAGAATGATATTATTTTAAAACTTTATTTACTAAGCTATTTAACCATTCAAGTATTTGACTACTTGATTAAAAATAAATTTCAGGTATTACTTGCTGTTTTTTTTGTGAATTTTGCAGTTTTTATGTATATATTTGTTTAGAATAATAAATGTTGGTACTCGAGCTGAAATGTTCATGAGTGGCTGGTCTGTTCCATGAAATTAATTTTTATCAGTATTGAAAAAACTTCCAGTTCCTTGTTTTGTTATAAATAATTCCAAATTACAAAAATAGAAGTTACAATTGCAGGAAAGTAAAACAAGATTTAGTTATACAGGTTTAATAATTGTTCTAGACTACAATCTATCCCTAACCTTTTTAACAGTGTTAATATTTATGTTTCATGAGTTTTTATTCAAATTTTTTTCAAAGGGGGGATTTTTATTTGGTGATTGATGTGACACAGGGCATTCAAGTTCTGAAGGTGCAGTATGTCTATAAACATTGTTTAGTTGTATTCACTAAGATTTTTTTAAACAAGTAATGTCTAAAATGGTACAATTTTAAGGGTACTTAGCTTATTCACAATAAGAATTATCATCTAGAAATAAAACTCAAATTTACAAAAGATCTAGAGAGGAAGCTTTCCCTCAGCCATATGGAAAGGAACTCCTGGTGTTATCTTGGAATACTGCTTTGTTCTGTTAGTTATGTTTTGTGATTAGTGGACAACCATTGCAGAGAATACATTTGAAGATGACTTTAATAGCACTTATAATATATTTTTTTCATAAAAACTAGTAAAACTATATCTCTAATGTGTCGAACAATTAAAAGTTTGAATGGTTGCAGCTTATTTCAGACATTTGCAGACTATGTTATCAGCAAATTAATTTCAAAACATTATATCTTGATTGATTTTTTTACACAGAAAGCATAACTACCTATAATTTTATAATGATAGTCAACCATGACTCAAGAGTTTTAAGCAATTGGCACAAAATTTTCGAAACAAGCATACACTTCTTAGAAGTGTTTTATAATAAATATTTACTTAAAACTATGTTTGTGATTGCAAACAAAGGAAATTAGATGAATATAACATTGAAGTCTTAAATTCTAGTACTGTAACAAATTGAACTTGTTCTCTTCACCTTAAATATATATTCACTGTATCCAAATATGACTTCTCAGCAGCTGACATAACTTATAAAATATGTTTAGATAATCCAATTGCAACATCATAATAAGAAAAGAACTATTGCACAAATGATTATTTTAAAATGAAACTTTAGCATAAACTTTCTTTATACCTGCATTAAATTTCAATTCAGCACAAAGGAAAAAATATTCAAAAGTACTTGTAAAAAATATAGGTTGGTTACTGATTTACTGTTACAGGTGTAAAGTAACTAAAAGAAATTAATCAAAGCACATGATTAGTTAAAGCATCAATAATTGACACTATTGGTTTCATAAAAAATTTTAATTTATGAATTTTTGGGAATCCAGCAGGCTTAATATATTTTGTAAACACTTTAAAATGCAATTTTTAATATATTTTTTCTGTATATATAAAAAGGACCTCTATAACTTTGCTGTTGTAGTGTGTAGGATCTTTACCAAGTATAACCATTGGTACACTTTACTTTTGCAATAAAATTGCCAGCTATTGCATTTTTTTATTTTATTTATCTGTGCTGCTACTTGGTTTAACAAGAGTCTAGTATTTTTTTGTAGGTAAAATACTTGGTTCACTCTAAATCTTTTATTTGAGAAAAGATGTTAAACTAATCTACTAGTATGAGTTTATATTAGTTTATAGATATTTTGCATAATCTTTCAATTATCACTAAAGGCTCTGGGTCATTTTCTGTAAGAGATTCAATAATTAATATGAGTATAGAAAGAAAAATGGGTTTTCTGATGTATCCAACAGAATGTATCGCTGAATATTTAACACTGTATTTCTAAATGTAAGTGAAGTTTTTTACTATTAATGAAATATATCCATCTGAGTAGGTTCTCAGTAAGTTAGTTATAAATGCACAAAATGTAACTGTAGTCTTATGTGCCTTGGGTAAACACTTCATAATAATCATGCTGTACCTTCAGAATTGTTCTTCTAATATAGATGCTCTTTTGTATGAGGTTATGTAATAAATAACATTGTTATTAGGGCTGAAGTTATATCATAAGTAAATGAAAGTATAGGACTTGACATGTAGACATTTTTTAACCATAAGCCACTAATGGATTGCAGCAGATTGTAAGGAAAATGTGATCTCTTTGAATTTTGTTTAATGATTTATTAATTTGTATTACAATAGCTATTCCATGTCAGTCATGGACATTTCCTGATAATCAGCATTTCCAAATGTGGTTTAATATTTCCAAGAAATGTTAAGGGAAAATTTGTGTATTTTGTAAGGCAGACGTGTCTTAGCATACCATGTCAAAAGTTCACAATATGCCACTGTGATAGTCAGCCTCATTATTTGGCTATGAGTAGCTGCATATGAAGTAGGTGTTACTGATTGTTTACTTTCCCTCTGATCATCAGTCTTAGAGTCACTAACCTGGCTGTTTAACTGTAGTGTTGTAAAAAGGGCAATTCAGGTTGAAGTTAACCAAAACACATGATTTGTATAATATACATAATTTCTCAGTCTGCAACTTTTGCAATATATAAGCAATTTTAAGTTAATACTTGTAAAATATTGTTTAAATGTTTGTAGAATAATATTCTTTAGAAGAAAAAGTTGTTTGTTAATTACCAGTCTACCAACAAACAGGTCCCCAGAAACTTGAAAAAATTATAGTGATTCAAATTCAATTTTATGGGGAACACAACAAAATGGTTTTGAAATTTCTTAATGATGATGAAAATAAAAAAGAACTTGGTTAATATATTTGAACAGTATTTTTCAAACCTCTGTTTTATGATTGGCAGGTATTTGAACAGTGGTTTCCCTTAAAACTTAAAAAGGTGAAGAACTATAAGGAAGTCCCTCATGATGATGAGGTGGATTGTAAGCAACGGAAAAACATAAAGCTTTATAGGTAAATGACTGTGAAGACATCTCTAAATTTTGTTAGAAAATTTATATGACATCATGTATACTAAAACTGACTCTTTAATGGTATTTATAAAATAAGGTAAGTGAATTTGTCAGTTGCATTGTAAATTTAGTTACTTTTAAGATTGTGTTTTGAATGTTTTATGCATAATGTTTTTGTAAAGTTACAATGATGTTTGTAAAAACAGTTGAAATTATTAATTCAAATGATTTTTTTAGTTCAAATAAATGTTTTTATATTTCACTGATGTTTTTGGGGAACTTTGCTTAGTAAGTTGTCATTATATTTCTCTAACTTCCTGTAGTTAACCTTGTATAATAATGTGGAAATATCTTTCATCTAGTTCTATGGGAAAATGTTGTATAGACCAAAACTTAATATTATTGTATTACTTGATACTTGTTTAAAAGTATAATAGTATCTCCATTTTCAAATAGTTTTGTTATATCAAAACATTAAGAAATACTTGTAAAAAATCTTCAAGAGGGTCCAGATAACCACAGACTAATTATGTAGAATAGTACTATTAAAAATACCAGGGATGGTGGTATAGTAGGTGTAAGAGAAAAAGGAATATATACTTAGATACTTACAACTCCTTTATTACCAAAATAGATACTGCATCACTAGAAAAAGTCGCTTCCAAGACAATACACACCTCTTCACACAGAAAGTTGTGCATCTGCCTTGGAGATTTGCATGTCATTAGCCTTTAGGCAACTCCCTCCTAAACTCACGAGATTTATCATGGTTTGTGCCACTGCATAATGATGTTGTTATGCAGTAAATATATTCCACCAATAGGAGAGTGACACAACCTCCCTGCACATTAGCTCTCTCCATGTTTTTGCACTCGTGATCTTTATTCTTTTTCCTTGGCATTGCACAAATTAGACATGCTTTGTTTTGCTCATAATTTACAGGGATTTCTAGACTAATCAATCTACTTTATTTATTTTCTTTCATCCAATTATGAACTCTGGAGTTCTTGTAACTTCATCATCTAGTTAGAATGAGGAATATCCTCACTAGTCAAGTTTCTAACTTGGGTACTGGAAACATGTTAAATGTGGATGATGTGATGGTCATTATGCATAGGGTAGTGGGTTCTATTATGCAGCAGGGGAGTTTCAGTGCTTGTCTATTCATCTAGCATTCCTTCCTCTCGTTCTGAGAGGGAATATGACAAGGAAGTCTATTCTGACCATTTGTTTCCTCCTCCTGGTTATGCCTTAAGAACTTCCTTCCTGTTGAGGAGAATTTTCAGACTTCCTCACATTATCGGGACCTTATTATTTAGGTATGTTCTGCTCTATCTCTCAATCTTATAGGTATGTTCTGCTATATTTCTCAATCTCATGTCTTATGACACTTCCCATTCCCTCCTTCACATCCCTCACCCTAATGATATTGGCATTCAAGCTAATTCATTTTTAGATCAACTCTGTTCCTGTGATCTTATGCTTTGTCATGCAACTCTGAACAAGAATCTTACTTGAGGCACTTGGACCCAGGACAAATCTTCACACCAGTGTGCTCGAACTTTTGGCAATACAACAAGCATGTTCTCATTTCATACCCTTTCCTGGTGGATCATTTGGTTATGATTCACTCCAACATCTCCATTGTTGTATCCTACATCAACTGTCATGGGGCACCAGATCCAGGACCCTTTGTTTTTAAACATTAGGCTTTTATTGAGCCAATTCTCAATGGGTTCACCTCATTGCCTGTCACATACCAGGTGCTATGAGCCTCATTGTGGATCAACTTTTTTGGTGTTTTCACCCTCAGGTTTCAGATGGGTGTCCTGGGGATTTCACTCATCAATGCTCTTGGTATACCCCTCAATTCCAAACTTCTCCTCTTTTGGTCTTTTGTCCTTCATCCTTCAGCTCTGGCTGTGGATGTTTTCAGTCAAAGCTGGTCTAATAATTTATTGTATGCATACCCACCTCTCTGACTTTTACCATGGGCCCTGTCATTGATTTGCAGCATTCCTTTTTTGTGCCCTCCTGGTGACACCTCTTTGACAGGCTCAACTCCAGTTCCCTCTTCTTTGCCTACTCTCTACCCTTCCCCCCTCTTCCCACACCTTCTCTCTTGCTTCAACCATACACATCACTATTCCATCTAGGGATCACATCCATCTACTATCAGGTTTGGGATTTGTCCAGTCCATCACCCATCAAATCGGACTTTCCCAGTAACCTTTTTTCTCTCTCATTCTTTTCTTTTGTCTACCCTGTCCATCTACCAGTGTAAGTGGTGTGTTTTTGATGTTTGTCCATCTGTCACAACCTTCATCTTGACCATCCTACTCCTGATTCTTTCATACCCTTTTTCATTGTTCAAATCTTCTACTTTATCCTGAATGGTTTTTCCGTCCTAAGACTTCAGCATCTCAAGAAGGTGAATGTTCTTTCTCTCCTATTTCAAACATCTATGATTGATCTGATATGGACCATCTGTTGTGTCCTGTTCATGCTGGCCCTCACCTTTGCCTCTTATTTCCTGGGTTTCTTCTTCCAGGGACTTATCTCCATCTACTCTTGCAGGCTGGGTCCTGCAACTGCTCTATTTGGTCTACTCTTCATTGGGACTCAATACCTGCAGACTGTTCCATATTTTTCCTCATCATGTCTGCCACCTCACCCATTCCCTCGTCTCTCGTTTCTGACAGTTGCTTGATGAGATCCTTCAATTTGGCACGTGGACTATGATATCTGTCTACTGTCCAATCCAGACCATACCTATTGCATGGTCTATCATGGAAAAAGCCAGCACCAGGGGGTGTACCTGATTCCCTGGCTCTTACTTGCTGGCTTTTCAAAATAGGTTTATGCTGTCATCCATTGCACTGTCTCCAGTAAAATACCTTTCTGACTGAAACAGGACTGATGGAGATCTGGGCATTTTCTCCAGGTCTCCTTATTGTAAATTCTTCCCCCTTTTTCTTTGAGTGGAGCAAGGGAGACCCTTACCACTTGCAAGTTTCTAGCTGGTATGGAGGTGGACCATGGAGAACCCTCATTGATTGGGACCTAATAGCTGGGTCTAAAAGTGGAAAATGTGGTGGTGATGACACTGTTAGTGTAGTTCAGGTCACTCCTCATATCATTATACCAACAACATGCTAGAAACACTTACTAATTTACTGTGCCCTGCTCCTGCAGTCTGCATCTGTTCAGTAGAGTTGAGGTAAGCACATCACAAGACTGTGCTCCTCTCCTTCAGCTTGCCACTGTCCAGTAGAGTTGAGGCAAGCACATTCCAAGATATCTGCTCTCCTCTTACAGGCTGTGACTGTCCAGTGTAGTCAAGGTGAGCACACACATGCACATCATTATACCACATACTTCTCTTGTGGTCATGCCTGTTCAGTAGAGTGGAGGTGAACACTCACTACGTGTTTCATATTACATAATTTATGACAGGAGTCTGACAGTAAAATTGAGGCAAGCACACTCCACCATTACATACTATGGCATGAGTTCTCTATACTCCTCCTGCAGCTTGTGTCGGTCCAAGAGTCTGCTGGTAGAGTTGAGCCAAGCATGCACTATTAATCTCTGTGCCCTTCTATCGCATCTGGTATCAATCCAGTAATTCTATCGATAGAGTTGAGTTGTGCACTAGGTATGGTCTGAATATGCACCAACCATGCTACACACATATTGGCTTTCTGACTTCTTGTATGCAAGCACTTGGATGACCATGTTCTTCTTCTTCCTGTATCCATGACACATGTGGTTTGCTTGCCTCTTCCTTCCATCTAGTCTGGGCAAACAGTGTACCCTGGAAGAAATGAGATGCAGTTTCCCATGAGTGTATTCCTATGGAGCCCATGCTACCAGGTGTCACATTGCTTTGGGCACTTTCTGATGGGAGCTCAGCTAGGTAACTTTTGCACTGGTCCCTGCACGTTATGAACATGGGATTCTAACTTTCTGTGTAAAGAGTTGTGTATCATCTTCGAAGTTAACATTTTCCTTACTTGAAAATGTATTTCCAATAGATATTTACCTTTTCATACACTTCCCACCCTTGCTCCACATTTTTGGTGCAACTTAGTATTTTTTCCCTTGTCAAAGATGAAGATTATGGGTGCAAAAGCATAGAGGGAGTTAGTGCACAGGAAGATTGTGTCCCCCTCCTATTGGTAGAAGGCTTTTACTGCATAATAACATCATTATGCAGTGACACAACTCACAAGAAATCTCGCAAATTTAAGTGGGAGTTGTCTAAAGGCTAGTGACATGCAAATCTCTAAGGCAGATGTACAGGGAAGATAATTTTCTGTGTGGAGATGTGAGTATCTATAGGAAATACAGTTTCAAGGGTAAGGAAAATGCTAACTTCCAATTTTTGCATTAATTTCAAAATATTTACTAAAAGGTATCATTGAATTATTGATAGCCATTTTCTTAATGTATGTCTGTTCTTGTTCCAACTTTGAAGTGATAAGTCACTACAGAGTAGGTTCATCCACAGGAGTAGTTTAAATTTAGATATAGTATATATATATTTTTTTTAATGCATGAAGTTAATACAACAGAAAGAATGGATGCAATGGATACAGTTAGTCATATTTTGAAGATTTTGGGAAGTTTTTAAATGGTGAATAAGAAAGTTTATCATATTATTAAATTCTTTTAAGTGTGTATGTACATGGCTAAACAAAACTATACTGCTGTTTTTTATAACAAATTTATTAATCAGAAAAATTTGTACACTCTACTGATTTTGTGGTTCAAGCTGTTGAACAGAAACATTTGTACACTCTACTGATTTTATGGTTCAAGCTGTTGAACAGAAAAATTTTTACACTCTACTGATTTTGTGGTTCAAGCTGTTGAACAGAAACATTTTTACACTCTACTGATTTTGTGGTTCAAGCTGTTGAACAGAAAAAATTGTACACTCTACTGATTTTGTGGCTCAAGCTGTTGAACAGAAAAATTATTACACTCTATTGATTTTGTGGCTCAAGCTGTTGAACAGAAAAATTTTTACACTCTACTGATTTTGTGGCTCAAGCTGTTTAACAGAATTTGCTTAGCAGATGAGTTCTTTAAAGTTCAAACTCTTTTTTTTTACTTTTTTATATTAAAGTGTGTATCACACTTCTGTCTTTATTAACCAATTTATCTGATAAGTTGCAGAGTCTTGATGATGCACAACATGGAACTTACTTTTATGTTTTCTCCCCAGGTGCTCAGATGAGGGGTCCAAAGTAGAGCTCACACAAGTAAAGTCTGGTCCTTTAGAACAATCTGATCTGAATTCTCAGGTAAGCCAATGTGTAAGGTAACATTATTAAGATTTTATATGAATACAAAAAATACAAGTTTGACATTTTATTTTACTTTGGAGGGGTGGGGAGATAGTTCAGTAAAGTGTAGTAGGAAACTACAATTCAGTATAATGTTTTTTCCAAACAAATTATACATACTGAATGTTTTATTGCAAAAGGAATATATGGTGGAAGTATTTATGTTTTATAAAATATATATTCTTGTAGATGAGTTTTTAGAATAAACAGTATTTGAGGGCAACCAAGTAACTTGTCTTTAGTAATTATTTTTATAAGAGATGCTTTTGTTGATCAAAACAAATGCAACATTTTACATCATATTTTAATAAGAATGAAAATACTGTAACATGTAAATTAAACAATGTTACATTTTGAAATTTTCTGTGAATTGTTTTGTTTGGACACTGCTGATGTATAATGCTAACCACTGAAAAACGTTCAGCATTTTATACTGTCACTAATTCAGTTTGTTATTATATATATATATACACATATAATTTAAGGGCAACAAGGGACCTTTAGGTCCATCTAAGCCATCCAATCCACTAAAAAAAAACTTTAAAGCAAAAATAAAACACTCAAAGCTAGCTGTTATCATTCAAATATTTATCAAGCCTGCCCTTAATCTTCCATAAATTGACTGCATCCACCTTATCCGCAGGAAATCCATTTCATAGGTCAGCCCCTGTGAGAAATATGAACCTGTCTTAGCTGAAGTTGACTCCTACCTTGCCAAAATTTTTGTGTCCTCTAGCCTTGCCTTTCTCATCATTAAGTACAAAAAATGCTCATGAATCAACACTATAAATTGCCTCAGCATCTTAAACACCTCAATCAGATACCTACTAACTCTTCTTTTTTCAAGAGAAAACAATTTCAGAGATATAAACCTCTCCTCGTATGACAACCCTTCCATTCCAGATATAATCCTAGTAGCTCTCCTCAGTAGTACTTCTTCACATTTCTTCAACCACTCAGTAGCAGTTTTATTTAAAAATGTAATAACTATTTAATATCTCAGACAATAATTAATCTGACTGGTCTTACAATAGAGTAATAACTCCATTACATAATAAAGTAACTCGTGTATTTCTATGATAGAATCCAGACAAAATGTTTTTATAATATTATATATGTTTATCACCATTAGTAATTTAATACATTTTTAATGGATTCAACCTAAAAAGGAATTTATAACTCTTCTTTGCAAGTATTTAGGTTGCTCTGAAAGTTTGATACATCTGTTTGTATAACTAGAAAAAAATGTCTAACAGATAATTAGAATAGTTATTGCCTGAGTGGCACCTGGAATTTTAGATGAATGATTATTTGGTTTAAACATTTAAGATAATCTTTTGTATTGAAAATTGGAATATATATGTCAGTTTAAAACTTTAGACATAACTGGATTGTATTCACTACTGTTAAACTGGTTGTAATTAAATGTTTTAAAAATAAAGGATTATATCAAAAATGTGTAGGGTAGTTTATGTTTGTAAATACTGTGATTGGCCAGATAAGAATGTCTGAAAAAGTTATTGAGATTTTGTAAAATTGGTTCTATGTTCTGTAAATTGTTAGTTTAAAGAAGTTATATCACTATATTAACAAAATGATTTCTGAAGTTAGTTTGTTTAAGGTTCAAAGAATCTAAGGTTTAGAAAATGTGTCTGTCTTTGACTCTTTTAAAAAATTCTATTTAAGGATTTTTCTATAAAGTAAGAGTAATACTTTAATATTCTCAGAAAATATTTTAATATAGCTAAACTTCTGATATTTCACCATTTATGTAAACATAGCTAAAGATTGGAAGCAATATTTCACTTTACAGATTTTCAGAAAATGTTCTTTTTTCATTTATTATCTTTGCTGCTCAGCTGGTGTGTGTGGTTCCTTTGAATCTTCCTTTCTAGTCTTTCTGTTTTGTATGCACTTCCAGCTTTCAGGTGGGTGGCTTCTTTTGGACCTTTGCAGTAGCATGTATTTTTTTTTATGTGCCTGCTCTTTTGTTTACTCTGATCTAGAAACATTATCTTTCTGATGTTTTAAATGCATGCTGAAATTTTGAAATGTTTATAATCATACAGCTGGTCTTTTTTTTTATTTCAACTAAAATTTTATACTGACTCTCAAAGCTTTCACTACCAAAGATGTTAAACAGAATGTAAAGAAAACAGTCTTTGTATCCAGCTTGGTTATAATCCTAACCCAAACTAGTTTTTCTTCTATAAATAAAATGCTTCATTTAGTAGTAAGTTAAATCCACAAGGACCCAGCTGATTGATGAAGGTTTAATTTCCACTTATCCTTTTTGTTTACAACTATTTTATCTTTTTGTAAGGGTAACAATTCTGCAAGCAATAAGTTAAACCCACAATGACTCAACTCATTGAGGGATGCTTAATTTTAACTAAGTTTACTTAGTTTACTGTTTTGTAAACTAGATTCTGCTTGTGAAAATAAAATAGTAACTTATATTCTTTCGGACTTACAGATCCTCTGTAGCACTTTAAATGGAAAAATTATTATCTTAACTGGCAAATATACAGTCTTAATTCCTTTCAGGCTTAGTTATAATAACCCGTAGAGAATTTAAAAAATTAATAATAAAAGTATATTGATTCTACCCACAGTTTTTTTTAACTGTTTGATTATCAAGACTGTCAAAATAGAAATTGGAAAGGAACAGTTTAAAATTGTATTAATTTTTAGTGATACATTAATAAAACGTATTTTACATTTTGCAGAATGTATACAAAAGTTGTTTTGCATCATTAAATGATCATATGATACTACAAGTTGAATATAGTTTAAAGTATAAAAATAAGTCTATACATTTTGAATAATTCATTTTTTCAAATAACTTGCAATTTATTAAGCTATTAAAATAGGAGTGTTATGATAATTGGTGTGTATTATAGATATTAAATATTTATTCATAAATATTTTTTCTGTAATTAGGATTCATTCATAGTTGACAATGGAGAAGCTGGAATCTGGGTGTGGGTTGGTAGAAAAGCTAGTCCAGAAGAAAGAAAAAAAGCACTTGAATTTGCACAGGTAAATCATCAAAACAAAGACAAAAATTTCATATAACTATTTTGTGCTTGCACAAGAAGTGAGGAAGGCTGCTTTACTAAATGATATATTTATGTTTGCATTGCTCTAAAACATATTAAACTTCTAGTGATCACATACACAAATGTTTCAGTTTTTGCATGTTTTATTTTTATCCTTTTGTATCTACAAAGTTTTCTATTTCTTTTCTTACACGGTACTGCTGTTAGAAAACATTTATCAGATACTTTTTGTTACATGACATATTTAATCACTAACCTCAGTTATTCCATTAAGTTCAGAGATGGACAGATTAAAATTTTTATAATTCTCTGATTCTTATTTTTACACCACGTTACACAAAATATTTTCATTTAATCATTTTCACTTTAAGTTAGATGTATGTAGCTTGGTCTACCAATATTTACAGATCAGTAGTGAGCTCAGTAACTGAATGCCTTGAAAAAAGGGCCATGACCTGTTCCTAATAATATGTGATTATATAGAATGACACCCAGTAAAATATTGAATATGTGGACAAAAAAGTTTCATTTATTATATGAGAAGAAAGACTTTTTATTTGATTGTTGTGCAAACAGTTTGTATACACTGTCTGAACTATAACTCACTATTAAGGTAAATGAAGTCTTTTATATTATATAATGACTCACAAGAGCTTCCTTGACACTTGCAACTGTGTTTTAAAGTTTTTATGGAAAAAACATCTTTTCAGCTATGGTTGTTAATGTATGCATTTAAGTAAAGAGCATATTGTAAAAAAAAGACATTGAAAGTTTTGAAGATTATTGATTTATTTTTACTTTTTTTTTTCAAGGGCTTCATTGTCAAAAATAACTACCCAAATCACACTCAAATAACAAGAGTAATAGATGGTGGAGAAACTACTGAATTCAAATCTTTATTTAAGTTTTGGCGGGATGTAAACCAAACTACAGGTCTTGGAAAAACCCATAATGTGGGAAAAGTTGGTGAGTGTTGTATTCCAAGTGCTATTGATATATTGTCATCATGAACAAAATGTGTTCATAGAATACTAACAGTAGATTTGCAAAGCAGTTGAAACTTTAAGAGAAATTTTTGTGAATTTACAATTTTATGATATTATAAACTTTAACAATATTCTTTCATCAGTTAGCAACAGAATTTTACCAATTTACGGTCACAGAGAACAGTGCCCTGCTAGGCAACAGATACCAGTGTTTCAGATGGTTGTTTGGATGACAATAAACAGGTCTAATCACAGTTAAAAACATTGCAGATTGTCAAATAAAAATAATCAAGTAGAATACCAGTCTATGCTATCAAAATACAATTGTTTTGTATGTGGCTCCAGGGCTTCTTGCTATAACATAATATAATGGCCAAAGTAGCTTCTGAGGTGGAAGAAGTGGTAATTGAAATTTCATCTAAATCTGATGGTAAAACAGAACCAGATGATATGCAGTTGGGATGCCTACTCACAGTGACTGAGAAAACAACAGGGAACAAGCTAGAGATAAACAAAAACATCGTAATCAGCAGAAAATATCATAACAATAAAAAAATTTCAACTCAATCTCTGATAACATTGTTAAGTAAACATAATGCTAGCCGTTCTCTAGGTACACAGTGATAAGTTCCAGTAAATACAGTGAAATGTGGCCCACTTTTAGAATATTCACTGTTTGAAAAGGCTGTTACATTATTTTTGTTTTATTTTTTATTTTTGCCAATCACTATTGAAACCACACTTCATATTTTACTGACCAGAACTTGTAGCATGCCAGTGCCTTGTCTGTTTATGACAGACATCAAGTAGGATTTTGTTTCCAGGTAATTTATATATTCTTGTGTTAAAAAGCTAAATTGAATTGACTGTTATAAAATTAAATGGATAAAAAAGTTCAAATCATTTATCACCAATGTTATGATTTAAAGCATAGCATATTACTGACTAGTACTTGCAGCATACTGGTAATCTATAGTCTTTTATCCTAGGTATAACCAGTATCTTTTAAATAATTTACATTGTTCTGCACAAATGTTAAGCAAAACTGAGCTGTGATTGTCTTCTAAAATTAAAATAATAAAAGTGTTCAAATAATTTGAAACCAGTGTTAAAAATTTGTTTAGAACATGTTTCTACTTTCTTCTCAAACAACTGAGTTACCCTGATCAAAGATCACTCATCTGTTATGTATTATAAAATGAAAATTCCCAAAGTTTTCAAATATTGTTGAAAATTTCCAATATTCTTACAAAATTGCCAGTGGAAATTTACTGCTCTTAAAATTACCAAGAATTTTGCAATCTTAACTGGAAACATGAATTTTATATAAATGGACATTGTCTTTAGATATCTAGTGTAAATGGTATTAATATTACAGTAATAATTTAATAAGTTTCTTCATTAATGTAATCTAGATTTATACTAGTAGCTGCTATAATTAATGCAAAATAATTTCACCATAATAATTGCAATCATTTTTCAACTAGAAACAATAACATTAGTATAAAGCAATAACTGCTGTCATTAAGTATAAAACACAGTCTTTCACCATACATATAATAATTCCTATCATTAGTTCATTGGCATCAATAACCAACAGTTAAGTATTACAATAATGGCAGCTGCCATTGATGCACTACTCCAAACAGTAAATTTTTACAGTAAAGACTGATGCCATTGGTGCACTAATAACAATAGTTCGAGTATTTATTGAAATAACTGCTGTTATTGGTGCATTAATACAACTATTTTGAATTCTACAATAATGACTACTATAAAGCAAAGGTGAAAATGGGTGTCAACTGCCTTTTAAAGGTAGCAGAACATTACTGACACGGTTTCAATAAAGAAAGCCAAGGTGATGACATTGCAGAAGTCTTCAGGTAAGAATACAAACTGGTTGCATTTCTTAAATAAAGTGTTTTTTGAGGATGTTTGATGTGGGTGTTATTGGTAGGCAGTACTGGAACTTCATTGGTTCATTAGGTGGTTCCTCTGTCCTTGATAAGGTGGTTATGGTTTGAGACAGTTGTATTTCTGTCTCTTTGTGTTGATTAGTGGTAACTATAAGCTTATAATTGTCCCAGTTGATTGTCCTGTTATAAAACGTTCTGCCATGGTGAAGTTTTCTATTTTTAATTGTCTTGTATTGTCTTTGTGTTCTTTTATTTTTGTATTAAAATGTCACAGTGTCTTCTCAGTGTAGGTTTCTTTGCAGTAATAAGGTATATTACAGATGCCATTTTGTACCTATCAGTTGTCATCTTACGTTTGTTCTAGTATGGATCTGGTTGTCCTTTAGGATTTCCAGTGGATATCTGTGTTGAAGATTTGGGCTATGCATTTGATTTTGTTTTGTTCATATTATGTATATAACGAAGATAAATAACTGTAGTAGCTGTGTTTTTATTGTTGGTGTTAGTGTTTTTTTTGTTGTTGCTAGTTCTAGCTTTTTCAAAATTGTAAGAGTAACCATGCTGTGTAAAGTAATGTATAATGTGTAGGCACTTATCTTTGATGAAACTTTTTAGACGTTTTTACCTCTGCTATTTAGGTTTTTTTTGAAGATAAGTGGTGTGACTGAAGTTTAGGTATCTGTATGTATGAGTTGCTATTCTATAGTTGTGGGTTTGTTATTTTATGATTAAAAAGTCTATGAATGGTAGTGTTTTGTTATTTTCCATTTCCATGGTTAATTGAATTCTGTGGTCTATGGAGTTTCTATGTTTCCAGAAGGAAAAATCAGTATCATTGTCCATGTAGCCAGATTGCAAGTGTGATGTCAACAAAACACCTGTAAAAACTAGATAGTTTTTTTGTGCAGTTGAGTATTCTATATTTGTCATGATATTAAAGACTGTTTGGTTGAGATATTGGTGATTAATTTATTTTTGTGAGTGAATATTTTATTATTGTTTAGTTTTTGTTATAATAACAGTTAAAAGCAGAGGATTGTAGGAAGCTTTGTTAATAATTCATTGATGTCGAGAATATAGAAGGTGGACAGACAATTACGTGATAAAGATATAAATAGCGTGAGATGAGTGGGAAATAACAGATGGACAGAACCAGACAGATAATAGTGAAAGAGAATAAAGTTGGTATGAAGTTAACTACCGTAGAAGTGATTGGCCTAATGATTGACATTGGCCTAACGTTTAATATGTTAGAGTGAAACTAACAGTAGAAAAGAAGATAAGAAATATAACTTATTCTGTCAAAGCGTGGTTCTAAAGTAATTGAATCAGCCTGAGTGCACTTTGACAAAAGGAACAGAGCATCTTCAAAAGAAAGAAGACCAAACAATTATGATAACTCGTGCCACAATTGTAAGAGAATCACAGAGAATACTAGTGCGATAGAAATAGAGAAGATAGTTTGGCTTGTAAACTGAAATTCTAATATAATTGAATAAGCCTAAGTGGATATTTGACAAGAAGGAGAGAACTACATATATAGTATTATGATATGTCCATAATATCTATAGTGTTGAAGAATTTATTGTACATATGTTAACTTGTTCTGAATATATATATTATTTTGAAAACAAGTGAAGCGTGTGCTGTTTATTCTTCATTGAATTTATTGCTAACAAGTCACAGACACGTAGTGTAGAAGAATCCTAAGCCCAACAACAACATAGTATATATTTATACTATTAAGAAATATCACTAAAAGCCTTTTTTATTTTGACAATTGGCAAAGATCAGATTTTTAAATTCAGACAATGTTTAAAGTCTTAAATGTAAATATCTGCTAGGGCTGGAAAAAGTGGAGAACCCATGATAAAGCCATCTCTTTGTTCACAGAATGTGCTGTTGTACTGGATATATATGGGCTGTACAGACACTGCACTTCCCTGATAACTTCAGTGCTCATGGTTGAATACACTGCACTTCTCTAGTAACTTCAGTGCTCATGGTTGATAGGAATCATCATTAACAGGTTTTGGTTGGTGATATGGAAGGTTTCTGTCATGAAAACTTTAGAAGACAGGTTTTTCACATCAAACCAACTTTCTTGAAATTAAATACAAACTTCTTTTCTAACACATGCAAGATTAGGAAACTATTTGAAGAAACCAGCATACATCTTTTTCAGTAACGTATAGACAAAAACAGGCACAAAAATAGCAGTTATTCAGTGCTATCAAATCTCAGTTTGCTCAGCTACAAGAAATGCTCTCTGTATTAGACCTCTAAAATGCTGTCATTTTAGCCCTCTTTATTGAAACCCTTTCAAAGAGGCTCTGCTAGCTGTTTAAAGTAGTTAACACACATTTTCATCATGAACACACTGCATTAATTATTAATTAAAGAATGATTTGCATCATTAGTATTGTCTCACTTTAAAGTAAAGACACTATCACTAGAGTGTAGTTACCTTTAGTGTTAATTTTAGAATAATGAACTTCTGTTACTGGGGTAATAATGCTAACATTATTAATTTTATAGTAATGGCCTGCTGTCACTGTAGCTCTTGGGCTGACAGTTATAACTTTACATTACATATATTTTCATTAATATTAAATTTTTTGTTTAATAATTCAGTGAAAAAGTAATTATTATTACATGTATTTTTTATACAGCACAGAAAATATTTGAAACAAAAGTAGGTAAATTACTAATATAGTAAAGTAATTCATTATGTGTTTTTCAAGTTCAATAACACAACTTCAAAGGACAACAAGGAACTTTTGGTCCACATTGGCCATTCTATCCACTAAATCAAACTAAACACAAAAAAGCTCAAAGCCAAGCCTTATCATTCAAATATTTATCAAGCTTTTCCTTAAACTACCTTAAATTAATTTATCAACCATATTTCAAGGCAACCTTTTCCAATGGCCAACTATCCTGTTAGAAAATTAAGGCTGTTTTAGCTGAAGATTACCTCTACTCTGCCAAAATGTATACTTGTGTCCCCTAGTCTTACCATTATTTCCATTAGATACAAAAACAGATGATGCATCAACACCATCAATTCTCTTAACAATCTTAAACATTGCAATCAGATCCCCTCCAACCCTTCTCTTTTCAACAAGAACTAGTTCAGAGATCTTAATCTATCCTCATATAACAACCTTTTGATCCTAGGTATCATCCTAGTAGCCCTCCACTGAACACTTTTCAACAGTTCAATGTCCTTCCTAAGGTAAGGAGCTCAAGACTGAACACAGTACTCCAAATGTGGCCTAATCAATGATCTATACAATGATATTATAACATCTTTAGACTTGTATTCAGTATTTCTGTAGGTATGATCGAAAATCCTATTTGCCTTGCCACAAGCAATAGCACATTTCGTAGATGACTTAAGAGACTGATCAACCAGAACATCAAGATCTTTTTCTGTTAAGATTATGCCCATCAAAATTATATTTGTAATTCAAGTTTTGTTATCCCACATGCATATAATAGAAATTGTTTTGTAAAGCAGCTGCATCCTTCTCGCGGCCAGCAACACCCAATACTTTAATGTTCTTAGCAAATTTAAATAATTCTTTGCCCATTCCTTTATCTATGTTATTGATGTAAATCAAAAAAGAGTAAAGGTCTTAACACTGAGCTCTGAGGTATCCCACTCGTAACTTAATTCAGTTTGACTGAACTGCATTTATAACAACTTTGTGCTTTCTTCCATCTAGCCAGTTTTGCATCAGATGATCCAATGTATCTCCCTGTCTTCCACACCTACAGAGAACTTTTTTAAACAAGCCTTTTATATGGCACCTTGTCAAATGCTTTTTGAAAATCCAGATGTACCAAATCCACACCCATACCATCATCTACATAAACAGTAACTTCTTCAAAGAATGTCAAAAGATTAGTAAGGCAAGATTTTTCCTTAGTGAAACCATCCTGACTATCCAACAAAGTTTGAAATTTCATTAAATGATTTGGCAAACCATAGTAAAATATGAACAATTTATACAACCTCTTACCAGATGTATTCATGTTTCTTTATATCAAACACAACAATATGTTCTATGTTCTAATTTTACATTATGCGATAAAGTATTTTGTTTAAGAAATGAACAAAAAATCCTTATTGAATCATTAAAAGGAATATGCAAGGGAAAAAAGTAAAATAAGTATGTAGAGATATTCTTGCAAATAACTCTTGTTTAGATTAACATGTTAACTCTCCAGTATTGATTTTATAACTCCTTGTTTGGGTGTTTCACAACCTTTCTTGATAATTCACAAGTGTTTTGAGAATTGTACAATAATTGATGAATTTAATACATTTTTTTAGTCAGTCATGTTTGAATTTCAATTTCACAAGATTTCTTATAATGGAAATCAGATACTAAATATTTTTATAGTTTTGTAGGTGTATTATTTATCCAAAACTTCTAGTTTTATATGTGTATTTTTTCATATATAAAATGCATTTTCAGCTAAAACAGTCCAGACAAAATTTGATGCTTCAACACTTCATGAAAACACTCATTTAGCAGCTAAGGAGCAGATGGTGGACGATGGTACTGGAGATAAGAAGGTCAGTTTACATTATTTTGATTAATGTTAGATACTAGTTTATATTTATTTGCCTTTTTGTGTGCTTAATGCTTCATATTTTCTTACACTTACCAACCTCTTATGGTATCTTTCTTTCTTACACCTCTTATCTGAGATTCTCCATTGACATCCTGAGGGGTTTTCTGCAGAAACCCTTGCCCTTCTCTCTTCCACTTTAACCTGCATATCATCTTCAGCTCTGGTGTTACATACGTGATTTCCTTGTTGTAGGGACTTTATAGGTCGTGATGTCGTATTGGCTCGGGTCCGTTTATCCTTGACATATCTCAGGGATTTACACATGGTCCCATTTCTGAGACGTTACATCTTTGATACAGTTCCAGAAACTAACGAGCCTCGGGTGACATTGGTCCACCAACAGTCCACCCTTAGAAATATTGTAGCCTGTTTTTCTCAGTCAGAGACTCATATGCCTCCAATTCCCATTTTCCGACATTCCACATCTCAGACATTACTCATTCCTTCTACTCAGGGTACTTCTTTTCATTGCCTTTCTCGATGATGTACCACCCATCCCCTGTCACCTACAGTACCGGTTTCGGGTCCAGTGGGGGCTCAATTGTTTGATTTTTGCCATCCCTGGCATCCTTTCATTGACGATCAATGGATGCTTCAGGGTCTATCAGAAGGATTCGTTGTCCAGTTTCTTTCCCCACCATTGGTTTCTCCTTTCCCCATTTTCTTCCCTCCTCCTCAAGATCCTGTGACCAGCAAGCATCTGTCAGAAGAGGTTTGGAAATTGCACTTGCAGCAGGCAATTGAACCAGTTCCCATCTTTCCAGGGGTTTTTATTCCCACCTTTTTGTTGTCCCCAAGAAATCTGGGAATTTGCAGACAGTAATTGATTTATCTTGCCTCAACTGCTTCATATCACTACCCAAGTTCACCATGGAGTCTTTTCTTACCTCTAGATGGGCATTTTCTCCTAAAGTATTGGAGACAAAAATGGATGTCTCCAATACTTACCCACATATACCGATATTATCTCAGTCTTGTTCTTATCTTTGATTTGTCCATTTTGGGGTGGTTTACCAATTTCAAGTCCTCCCCTTCAGACTTACCTGGGCACCTTACATGTTTTGTCGAATAGTCTAGGCTTTTGTACATCATCTTCATGCTCTGGGGCTACAATTTCATTATTACATGGACAACTAGCTTCTGCTGGCTTAGGAATTGGCCAATCATATTTGGCAACTACTTTCTGTGGCAGCTCAAGTGGGCTGGGTGATCAAGTTGGAGAAGTCCTTCCTCAGACTCACTCAATATCTTTCGCGCCCCAACCGGATATATCCCACAGAGTGGGCATTAGACCCCCCTCGTTTTCAGGAATCTTTGCCATCGATGGGGTTCTCCCCACGTGGATGCCTTTGCTATGGGCCTCAACACCAAATTATCTCTCTTTTGGTCACATGTACCTCATCCACAGATTTTGGCAGTTGATGCCTTTAGCCAGGATTGGTCACACAAGTATCTTTATGTGTACCCACCCATCTGATTACTTCATGAGTTGATTTCTCTTGTCCACTTCACTCCTTATCGTGTCCTCCTACTTGTTCCCTATTGGACAGCTCAGCCTAGGTTTCCAAGGTTACAACAACTGCTTCTCTTCCCCCTTTCCACTTTCCTCCTTTTTTCTTTGTCAACCTTGATCACATGTCCTACATCCCAACCTTCATGTTCTCCATCTTCATGCTTGGCTTTTCTCTGGTCCTTGGCAAGACAATTTGGTTTCACATGTCAAGTCAGTTCTTTGTTAGCTAGTTCCATCTGTCCATCTTTCATGGAGGTGTACCAATGCAAGTGGAAAGTATTCTGCAGTTGGTCTACTTGCAGGGGGTTTCCCGTTGTCAAGCCTACCATGGCACGTGTGGTGCAATTTCTCACCTGGCTCTTTGACTGTGGGTTTTCAATCTCCTTGCTTTCTGGATATTGGGCAGCCTTATCCTGTACCTTTCTTTTTTCCAAATACCGTAGGGTTTTTATTCCCCTGTTCTTACCATTCTCCTGCTTTCCTTCCAGAAACATTGCCCTTCCAGGCATCCTTCTCTTAGCCTATGAACGTCGAAGGTCAGATTTGTTTGCCTTTAACGTTTTATGTACCCTTTATAACCCTACCTATCTTCCCCTTTAATCGGATCGTTACTTTCTCCTGAAGACCTCAGCAGTTCAGGAGGGTGGTTCCTCTTTTTCTCCTATTTCCCATCTTTATCCTCTACCAGATCCAGATAGGCTTCTGTGTACAGTCAGGGGTCTTCATTATTATATCGCCCGTACTGCTACCTTCCGGGGTACACGTTTCTGACTCGATATCCTTTGGCAGTCCTCCTCCCTTTGTGATCTGTCACCTTCTACCCTTTACCAATTGTTCCACCTTTTGGTTTGATTAGCCTATTCTTCCCTACCGTTTTACTCCTGGAGTTTGTTCCAGGTGTCCTCCCATCATATCTGACACACTTTTTCCCTTGCTTCTCATCTTCATTGTCCAATGGAGGAGATTCTGCAATCTGGCACGTGGACCACTCCCAGTACATTCATCTCCCACTATCTCCATCATATCGCAGTTTCCTCTTTGTTGGGGTTTAGTTTACCACTTGTGACCCTTCTTCAGACTTCGGTGCGACTCTAACTGGAAAGATTTTATTCATACTTTCATTCTTTCAGGCTCCTTTATCTACTTTTTTATCACATGGATCCCATTCCATGGCAAGTGCTCCTGACCAGGAATTATTTAACTTTAAATTTGCACTGTACAGCCATGTTAACTCATGCTTTATTTTCCATGGCTTCACACGATCATCGTGGAGATGGGGTGTTCCGCAAGATCACTTGACAGTGAATAACCTCATGATATTTTGCTTCATAAACATGCCCGTCCCGGACTGTACCACCCATGGACTGCATGGGTGAAGCAGAAAGGGATTGCTGCCCATCCCTGCCATGCCTAGAGTGAAAAACTTGGTATGGTCTGCTTTTGAAAATAAGGTTTCGTGGTCACCCATTGCACTGTCTCCAGTGATGATGTTTCTCTGGACTCACCATTGCATTGTCACCCTCCTTTCTTTGAGTGGAGTATGGGAGTCCTTGCCACTATCCAGTTCCAAGCTGCTGGGGTGGATAATCATGGAGGCACCCTGCTGAATAAGTTGCACAAAATAACCATTCAGTTACAGAGTAGGGTGGTAATGTTCAGTGAGTGTAGATGATGTAATATCCTCCTCTTAGTGATAACGAATACAATGGAGTGAGACCTCTGAATGCAGTTCACCCCTTTGATTGGAGCCTTCATCCTATTCTTGCATGGATGTCAATACCCCACGAGGAGATTTTGTATTAGAGTGAACCAATCAACATAAGTCCTCACTTGAGTTCGAGTTGTCTATCTTCCTCCCTTGATTTCCTCCATCTATTTCCTCCTTCTCAGTGTGGGATTCTAGCTGATCTTGTGAGGGGGGGTAAGTACTGTATTGGAAGTTATAATTTTCCTGTACTGAAAATGTATTTCCGACAGGAGTGGAGGTGAGATTGGAAATACATTTTTAGTATAGGAAAATTATAACATCTGAAAATTTCAAATTAAATGAAATTTTTATATTTAACATAGCCATTAAGTTCAAAATTTGAAATATGAAATTATATACTAAATAAATAAACTTAATTTACAAAAATTTCAATTAATTCATAAAAAATATGAAAGTAAATGGGGTTGCTGTTTTATAATTTTATATCTGTTATTTTCAAGTTTGTCGTAAAGCAACATTATAGATTTATCATAACATTGTATGTTATATTTGTTGAATGCTATTTGTTTTGTAGGTTTATCGTGTGGAGAATTTTGATTTGTATGCAATAGAAGAAAAGGATTATGGGAAATTTTACAGTGGAGATTGCTATGTTGTGGTTTATAGATATAACGAAGGAAGTCGAGAGAGATGTTTAATCTACTATTGGTTGGTAAGTGTATGTTGTTTTTAAAAAAAAAATTATTTTCTTTATTACAATTTTCAAGCTATTACAATACATATATCTTTATATATTAGTACATGTTATTGTATATTATCATTAATTTGCAAGTACTGTTTTGTATATTTGACCAATATTTGTATATTTTTCAAAAACTTAATAGAATAATTTTTTCAGGTAAATAGAAGAATGTAAACTAAAATTTAGTGTGAAAGTTACTTTGGTTAAATATTAATCTATTAGTAAGGTTTACCATTTCATTGTCAAAACTTGAATCATCCAGAAGTTAAGGCTTGAAACATTTGTTGGTCAAGTCTTTGAACTTTTAGCAGATTACAACTTGACTCATTTAAAGATCATTGTTCGAAATCTTTTGAGATCAATGTTAAAAAATATATTGCTCAAGAGTGCACAAACAAGATGAGTACTTCTTGCAGCCTCTTCCTCCACTAGCATTCAACCTATGTAATATTGAAGCTATGTTTTCTGATTATTCAAGTATCTGTGGTCTCATGCTTGCTAAGACAGCATTGTTGGTTAAAGTTTCGAAACCTAGAGATTAAAGGTTGAATCATCTGAAGGTCAAGTCCTGAAGCATATAAAGGTTAAGGCTTTGGTCATCTAGACTCCATGATGGCTTCAAACTTTTAAGTGTCTCAGTTTGAATCCTCTGAAGTTGAAATTAGCAATTTGGAAGTTTCAGTGCTTTAGGATGCTGGTCCTGGAATAGGGGATAACATGACAGGCCGTGGATGGAAGTGTTTTGGTTTTGAAACATGATATCACTTAATATACTCCATATTTTCTGTTATGGGCACATTATAAAAGTGTGATGGTCAACCTTGTTACTCTGTCCAAACGAGCTGGACAAAGTCTTTGAGGTGATGGGTACTATCAGCTAGTTGCTTCCCACCTGACCAGTAGTTAAAAATTAGAGATGCTATATATGAATCCTAGGGGTCTTTGACCTAGAAATTTATCCCATATATGTGTAAGGTACTGTTTAGAGTGAAAAAATCCAATTAACTACTTTAGACAGCTAAAACTTAAGACTTCAACCATCTGAAGCTCAAATAATAGATCTATCCAAACTAATGATGTACATATATCACTAATTGATGATTATTTTTGAGCTACAGCAAAACATGACTCTAATATGGTGCCAAATAATTACCCAAAGTAAAAGTGGCTTTCATATTTCTTTTACACTTTCTGTCAAAACATGTAAAGGGTAGAAGAAGGTAATTTATATTCCATTTACTACTACATTTTACATTCTGTTAAATGCAAATAATTTGCTTAGTATTTAGTTATTCTCTAGGGTCTGAAATCTTCCAATGATGAAAGAGGAACAGCAGCTTTGAAAACTATAGAGTTAGATGACCAGATGAATGGTGAAGCAGTTCAGGTATATATAGATATATGTATTATTCCTTTATTTTCTTTCTTACGCTGTCATCCTTGCTATTCCTTGTCTCTTTCTTATATGTTTATTAAACTTTAAAAACAAAAAAGAAATAGTAATCTTGGATCTACTAATGGCTTTATTGAGAAACTAAAATCTAAAGATCTGTCAATTTTGTAAGGCTATATTTGAATATATTTCACTTTTAAATGTTCACTTTTCTGCTTTTAATCGAGTTTATATCTATTTGAGCTTAAATGATAACCATATTACTTTAGATTTGCTTTAGTTTTATTTTTTGCATTTTTTCTAGGTTTAAATGTTACCGTACAAAATTGGAGTTAGAATATATATAAACATTTTTATATACATGTTAATGGATTTTAATGTATGCAGAATTTGAATGCTATTTTGAACTCTTCATTAGATCAGAACTGTTCAGGGAAAAGAACCCCCTCACTTTATGGCCATGTTTGGTGGGAAAATGATAATACTAGAGGTATGTTAATTTAGTTATTTTTTTTTTTATATACTATTCATGAATATATCATGACACTAAAGTAACTGAATAGAAATGGCACATGTAGTAATTTGAAAGTTTTCAAGTGAATCCAAGGATTTATTTACCATAATACAACTTCTAAACAGTTTTTGACAGTCAAAATGAAATGGAAAGTACAAGGTGTGGAAAATATTAAAATGGTTACCGAATAAAGTTTACATCACAGATCTAAAAGAAAACTTTGTTTCTTTGTACTATGTTTTGGGTAAAAATAGTATAAATAATGTTTAAACTACACAAATGTAACCGAAAAAATAGAACTGATGAGACAAAATGAACATGATTTGCATTTGCAAAAATGGGCTAGCTATTTGAAACAAAAACATTGAACATTACCATTGTTATGTTAATATTGCTTAAGACAATAATTAAGTGTAATGAAGAAAAGTATAAAACAGAGAAGAAAAAATAAATTCATAGTAAAGAAAAGACCAGATTAACATTCTTTTTAATATGTTACAAATATTCTAATCAATTTTGAGAATATAATTATCAACTTGGATCAATTTACTTAGATTGTACAATTTTATACTAAAAAATTATTAATACAAAATTAGGTTCACATTTATTTGCTCTGTTGCAATAGTGTTGAGCATATAATAAATAGGCATGTTCATTAACTCTTAAGACATTGAACACTGAGAAGACATCAAAATTGGACAATAGTGTTAGGCACGATTACTGTTAATTAAAGTACCTATTTTTTCTGTTTTAAAAAAGTATGATAAAAGGTTGGAAGCCTCTTACTTCATTAAGCTATTAGAGCATTTTTTTCTCAATCAAAAATTTTAGTAAAAATATTAATATTATTTGTAATTTCTTTTAATTGTTTTCTAATTAATTTCAAGTTATATTGAGAATACAATAAAAAGAAGTATGTCATAGGTCAAACCACTAAGGAGTTAATATATATATATATATTTTAATATATATAAATGTGGATACAACATTTCAAGCAGTAAATCCATAAACATCAGTTATAGAGACAGAAATAGGTAATATTAAATCTCTAGTAGACGTGGGTGGTTCCTCAGCATCAATTAATTCGTTGACAGTGTTTGTGATGACTTTGGTAAATGGATTTACTGTTTAGTTAGTGATACCTGAAGAAGGGCATTGCCCGAAATGTTGTATCCACAATTATATATATTAATATATATATATATTAACTCCTTAGTGATTTGACCTATAACATATTTCTTTTTACCTTTTTTCAACAACCACTACGCATAATTTCCTACACAGTTTTTGAGAATACATTAGTTAATTTAGGTTAATTTGTTTAGTTTGTGCAAGTGTATACTATTCTGTTGATGCTAGGCTGAGCATGCATTTGTTTTCCCAGTTCCTATATGTGTTGAGTAGTGATCAACATTCTTGATTGACTCTTCTTTATGTTAAAAGCTCAATCTTCTCTTATTTACACTGGCAACTTTGATGGAAAAAAGAGGATACATAATATCAATAATAAACAAGTAAATAATATATATGTAACAAATCAACAGTTGATTGCTACTGACCCTGTGGTTAGTGGTTGGAAATTATGGACAAAAACGTCTTACTTGAAGTGCACACTGACATACATGCTGTGACAAGACTCCATAACTGAAGGTAGGAGAGCCTGTGCTTTGGCTGATGCTAAAAACTCTTCTAGCATATAACCCTAACTACTTAGCAAACAAATTATTTTCAGTACCTCTTAGATCGAAATATTTTTATTAATTGTTGTATGTATAGACTTTATGAACTTTTGTAAATTGTTTTTTAAAGATTTTATTTTTGAAAATATCCATGAAATATCACTTTTTAAATGTCCAAACTTTTCATATTAAATCAGAAAAACTGGTTACATGCAAATTAAATTCATGAACTACTGGTTTTATGATATTTCCTTTATATAACAATACATAACCAAGTTACGTACACATCAGTATGGCCAATATAATTGTGATATTCTGAATGCTGCTACTTGTGTCTTAATGATAAGCATCAATCACTTTATGCAACAACAGTTTAAAAAATAAACAAAATCTCTATAAATCCACTTTTGTACAATAGTTTTATAGCTTTTGTAACTTCTATTTTTGTTCAATTACATCTGCTTTGCCGTATATTCTTTTGCAGATGGTTTGTTAAGAAAGGTCCTTAATGTGGGTAGTTGTTTCAAACACAGATATTTAACTTTGCACTTTCCTGTAATTACTTATCTTTGTGTTAACTATTGCTATTTGCAACCACAACAGATAATGTAAAATGTTGCCATGGTGATTATAATCTGAAAATCTTTAGACAAAAAGTCTGCATAAAATGTTTTTCAAACTTAAATAAAATATCTACGTCTAGTCTGTTTGATGTTGCTGCATTGTATCTAAATTTTTAACTTAATTATTAATGTTATTCATCCTCATTTTTTATATATAGATATATTTATCATGCAGTTATGTTGGTTACTGTGTATATTAATAACATTTTTGTTATAAAATTTGTTATTATATGGCGAGGATAAGTTTTTCTCAGTAGAAAATTAAATACAGTTTTACAAATAAAGGCTCATAAAACTTACAACTTCTACAAGAAAAAACAACTAAAAAAACTAGATATATATTTTAAGATGAAAATATTTTAGTTTTCAGTGACATTATTATTGGTATAAGACAGTGTTAAATAGAAGTTTTATATCATTTTGAAATGTACTATATACAATAAGTACACACATATATATTCATGATAATAATTCATTAGTTAATGTGACAAAATTAATTGAAGCTTTTTCTACTTAAGGGTGGCCACTCAAGTGGATTTAGGAACACTGAAGATAATGAGATGCCTGCAGATGAATATTGTTTGTTGCATGTTCGAGGAACTTCAGAGTACAACACCAAGGCTGTACAAGTCGAGAAACGAGCTGCTTCTCTAAACTCTGGAGATGTTTTTGTTCTTGTGACTGATAAATGTGCCTATATTTGGGCTGGAAAAGTATCAAAATACTTTCTTATATCAATAGTAGAAATTTCAAATAAAACAATAGGTAAACTAAACAATAAATAACGACAGGTACAGGTCTGATTCAATGCCACACACAACTGTTTGCTAATACTAGTAATAAATAACTTTATAACACCAGATTTGATTTTTCTTTAATTGAAAATGCAATGTTCCACTTTACAGCTTCTTTAGATGCATTCCACTAAAACAAACTGTAGCTTTAGTTACAATTTTTTGTTTTAATTGAACATTTCTGGATTAGCTGTAAAGCAAAACATTGAATGTATAGTTAAAGATAAAAAATTGGTGTTGTAAGATAGTATATTTTAGTATTAAAATGTCTATTGTATTCCAATATCACTTTAAAAACTAAATAACTATTTGTTAATATTTTTACAATAATGCAGATAGTTTCCTTAGTTAATCAATGTAATAATTATTATTTTATCAACATTTTCCATTATGGAAAGTTTTTTTGCAGAACAAAGTGGTATACTTTATATGTCTTGGCATATAGTAAGATTCTTGTCTGTCTACTTAGTTTAGTCCCCTGGTGGGGCAGCAGTAAGTCCACAGACTTACAATGCTCAAAGCCAGGGTTTGAATCCTCATGGTGGACACAGCATATAGTCCATTGAGGCTTTGCTTTAAAAAAACGAAACACAAACTACTTAGTTTAACTTCGTCTTACTATATCAAAAAAATTATGGAAGAGGATTCTATGTAGAATTGTGTTACAATCCCTGTTTACTTTTTTTACACTAAATTGATATTGGGATAACATTTTATTTGTTTAGGCTACTATAATGATAGAAATATATTTTATAATACTTAATAGGTTTGTTGTGACATTAAAATGCTCTGTGTAACTTTGTGTTTTAACAGGGTAGTACAGGAGATGAAAGAGAAATGGCCAAAAAGATTGCATTCCAGTCTGGAAAGTATGTTTTCTTGTAGATGTGTAATTTATTAAAATTGATGATGTTTTCAGTAGGTATAAAAATTAATTTATCTTTACAAAATATGGTTTAAATTTGTTACTAATGCAAATTGATCTACCATTACTTCATTTATAAAGAGGCTATTGTTTGAAAGTTTGTTATATATCATTGAACTTGATTCTAGATTTTGGTCACTTTAGATTATAATCCAATACATTTAGGCCTTACATAAATAAAAAAGCATTTATAACTATTACTTTGTGGAAGATTTCAGTTTAATTTTTGACCACTATCATTACATACTATTTCTAAATTATGAAAGACTTCTCAAATAAATTTATATTTCATAAGCACTTTTGTTTAATAATCTCTTAGAACAGTTACGTAATGATATGATGAACATCCTTCCTTTTACCCCATATTAAAACATGTATTGTATTATTAACACCCAAATTATGTTATTTGGAAATCCCAAATATGCAATGGCTGAAAATGAAATGATTTTAGATTTGATTATAATATATTTTTTTAACTAATACAAGTCGATTAGAATATGTAATGAAGGAATAACATAGGACAAAAGTTATTACATTTTTAATAACTTCAAAATATTTAATGGTATAACAATTGGAAGCCACCCATTCTACTAGTATTGTGAATTTGTATTCATAATACTGTGAATATAGGTTTATATTAATTATTTCTAAAGGATATAAATCAGACTTTCAGTTACATTGATCAATTGAAAGCAATAAATAATGATAAATGTTTTAAAACATATTAATACTATTGTTTCATTTGCTTTGGGAATAGAGTCTACAATAACAGCCAATAGTGGTGTAAGTTATATAATCTTCTCATTATGCTTAGGGTCCCCCGGTGGGACAGCGGTAATTTTATGGATTTGTAATTTTAAAATCTGGTGTTCGGTTCTCCGCAGTGAACACAAAACAAAGAAACATTATGCTTAGGAGTGGATAAGATAATTTCTATCTTTAAAGTATGGTTTCCTTTCAAGTGAGTCCTGCCATTTATTTTAGGAAGTTTTATTAAACAACTTTAAAGATGTGTTAACTCTTTCAGAACAGGCTTGGTCCCTGGGACCGACCTCATAACCATTTTGTGCTTGTTATAGTTTTCATGCTATAACTTTTGAATTCTTCATGCAAGGTGATGCCAAATTCATACATCACCATGAATTTTAAAGTCATGTCATTTACATTTGTTAGAAATGTGCACTGTTGATTACAATAAAATGTAATTATTTCACTCATTGCAGTTCATGTTTTGTAGAACTTGCAATATTATAGTTGTTTAGTCTTTTATGGTTCATTACTTCAAGCCTTCCAGATTATTAGGATGTGTGAGAAATACCAAATGCTAGAAGTATTTCACCCTCACCCCAAAAAAGGTATAATGGTGTAAGATCATAAGAGCAAGCATGATCTCTACACAACAGGATCACTTCTACACTTCCAAGTTTAAATTCCAAACCAATTATTGTAACAAATTCAGAACTTGAATTACAAGTACATTATTAACATCAAAGATACATATTTATTTTCATAGAGCATCTGAAATAATGCAGTCGAACCAAAAACATGAATACATTTTTTTCTATAAACCAGTACTTTGACATATAATTTTTTTTCTGTACGTAAGTCTTTAATATGCTAAGATATATCTGTTGCATTTAAAAGAATATTTGTGTACTGTTATAATTTTTAAAATTCAAAAGCTAAATTGACATTTGTAATAATACTTAGTTATCCCCATTCAAGAAATGTTTTTAAAATCTTTACAGAGGTTGGGTATTTTATATATGAAAAGGATTTTATAACCTCACCATGTCTCCACATTCAGTGATGTGTTGTCTCAGAGCTGTTTCAAAGCACATATTTCAACAGTTCAATTGCACAGGAGCTCCCCATAATCACATCGCATCTATTCAATCATTGTAAACAAGTAGCTGGAGAATGAAACAGATATTCATGTTATTCTATATGAAAACATACTAGTCAAGTCACTGAATGTCACGTGAATGACTTGATTACACTGACTTGTGTTCATGGAACTTTGCTTATCATGGGTGTTGTATGACTTATTGCAGATTTCTTCTTGGATGGTCCTAGTTTCAAAAGTTAATGTATATTTTTTTGTCTTCTGATGCCACTAAGTACAAATGATATATTACTATCTTGGAAATTCTAAATCTCTGAACTGAATACATCTTTATGATATGCATTATGAATATTTTTCATTGGAAAGGGATGTTAAATACCTACCCTTTTCTAAGGCATTCAGTTTTTGGTGGCATCACTAAACCCCTGAAATGTCAAACAATATCAAAATGTAACTGTGATGCATTACATTCCACTATGACTTTATGTTGGTTGTGATTTGCTGACTTGCTTATTCAAAATCATTTTAATATAATATACTCAACTCTATGTATTTGTATTCTTATAAATCTAAGCTTATATAATTCTGAAGTCTTTCATTGGATTATGTTGTTTTACAAATCACTATTGCTAATGTTTGAGTAAACTAGAGAAATGGGAAGAAGAATTGGGACAATAATAAAAGAACATAAAGGCCTGCAAAAGACTCATGAAAATACAAAATTCAGCCATTGCTGAACTATGTCAAATAGACACAAAATAAACTGGAATAAAACTAGAATCATTGACACAGACAAATTCTGGAAAACAAGAAAAATTAAAGAATCTTTTTAGATTTATACAATAAAGCCTTCACTAAACAGAGATTTGGGATTAGAGGAGAGCAATCTATGGTTACCATTGTTTGAAATCTCATGCAGTCTTTTCACCATTCGTAACCAGGGATAAATAAACCAATCTCAACATGTCCTCCACAATCCACCTGGATACTATAAAGCCCTGCAACGTCTTACACACACACACAACACACACACACACACACTGACCTGAAGATGGAAGATTGTCGAAATGTTGTCCTCTACACTGGTTTTTTCTATAATAGGCAGTTCCTGTCCATTCCAGTTTACTCAATGTGAATACTCTGCCTAAATGATCTATCACAGAATTGCTAATGTTATTATAGCTAAAAAATTTATCTGAGTTGTCTTGAGGTTGGAGATACTTGCAAACATCCCAGCATTTAGATATTTTTATTGTGGCTTGAATGTTTTTCATGCTACGTTTTTGATAAGAACTGTGATTTTAATTTTTAAATATTATAATTTCCTCCTTTAGGTCAATGTCTAAGAAGAAAATAAAGATGATGATTAATTTCACAGTTTTCCAGAGATATATGAATACTTATGATTTTTTTTCAGTTGCAATACACATTGAAGACTGTATTTAGGTTTTATGAAATCTTAAGCAGAAGTTATTCAAGAGCCCCCTCCCCCATCCTACATAGGAGAAGTGAAGCAAATTGAGGAGGATCATGTGAAGTGGACAAGATTAGACTTTGGGGGAGGGCACGATAATCCCTCACATAAGTCTAGATAAGGACTCGGATGGCAGAGGCTGTTTATTAATTTTTTTTTTATATATAAAATGCTCAATTTACTGATGGTAGACATGGTTTATATGACTAGTGTTGCCTTGAATCCAACCAACCTATATTGAAGCTGCTCATTGACTTTTGGTTATCTTAGTGCTTGTATCATAATGAAAATGTTTCTTGTATTTTAATTTCCAACCATAGTGGTTATAGTTATGTAAGCTCTTATCAGTTATTTAAATAAAAAATAACAGAATTAGACAGGATATAATAAAGCTTTTTTTTTTGCAGAATGTTTACAAAATCGTTTTTCACATGTACAAGATTATTAGAAACCCCAAAGACATCCTTACTGAAGGGTGAAGCTGTTTAATACTCAACTGGTGTTGTTGATCTGACTAACTGCCTTTAAATGTTTCAGTTTTAAACTCCTATGCTGAGCTATGTGTCTTGTGTGATCGTGTCTCTCAGGTCAAGTGTGATTTGAGAATTACAACAAGTTGGGAGATGAGCAAAATGATTGGTGACTTTAATACATAACTTTGAAGCTGATGTTAATCATCATACTTACTACTTTTTTTAAAAATACATATATGTTGCTGTAAGGTTCCATAGCAGCCAGTGAAGTTATCTATGTATTCATTTTAGAGAGCAAGTGTTAGTATCAGAAGGGCAGGAGAAAAGTGATTTCTGGGATGCTATTGGAGGACAGGAATCATATTCAAACACTAAGCTCTTGAAGGTATGGTCTAAATCTTTATAGTAATTATTGAAACTGTTTTAGTTAGAACTTTGATAGCTTATAAAAATTCTATAATAACAGATTGGCAGTTAAGTATGGAGTAATTATATTGTTATAACTAATCAAACTGTTATTCATAATGTATCATATTTTATATTTTTATAACAGAAAAACCAAAAGTAGAAAAGAAGGACAAGTTAAAAGAAAATTGTGACAAGTTGTGTAATTTAAGTACTTTACTAAAGAAGCTGTATAAAATTTTGAACATTTTTATTTGTATTTGTATTAAATAAACAACAGAAGAAATGAAAAAGTTCCGCTACATATTAAAATGTTATGTGTAAAATTAGCTTTGCTTTGTCTTAAAATATAAGCCATTATATTTCGTTTATTAAATTAAAACCAAGCATAACATCTTGTAACTTATTATACATTACATCTTCACTTTTAAACTTTTTCAAGCTATTTAAGAACAAAATCTGAACACATTTTAGACTTGTTGCTTTTCTTTAACAGAGAATTAGGAGTGTTATGTCAATTATTATTTGCATGTACAGCATTAGTTTAAACTACCTCTTACAGTTGTTTTAGTAAGAGAATCAACATTAATTAACTGCTAAATATTTACATATAAAACCATTTCTCTTACTTTGATTGTATAATACCCTATGTAGTAACTTAGGAATAAACACTTATCAGTGGACAGTATTTTTATGAAAAGGTAGATGGATGATGCTTAGATCAACTCTTATCTATCTTCTTTTAGAGATGAAGAAGAAAATATACAATAAACTTAACTGTTTGGAGTATCACCTTTTTACCAGTACCCTAGTAGAATGTCTGCTGAAAGATCTTCATCAATCATCATTCCTTACTATCTCAGTGTGGGATGTCAGTAACAATGATGTATAATGCTCAGATTTCTTCTACAAATGTAAAATATCCCATGAGAGAATATATAGTACTGCCATTGACTTGTGCCAAATGTAACTGTATTCTTATCTAGATATATTTTCTTTATAACAGTCCCAAGACGACTGTCACCAACCGAGGCTCTTCCAGTGTTCAAATACATCTGGCCGTTTTCTGGTGGAAGAAATATTTGACTTTAACCAGAGTGATCTTATTGAGGATGATATTATGCTGTTAGATGCTTGGGACACGGTTTTCTTATGGATTGGAAACAAAGCAAATTCTGAAGAGAAGAAAACAGCCATGAGTATAGCAGAGGTTTGTGAATATATATATATATATATATATATATATTTTAAAATGTCTTTATGCATGTATTTGTATAATACCAGCTGATGAACAAGGTCAACCCATGGAGAACACATAGGGGTTCAGATCTGTACATTAACCTTCTATGTCACCTCCAGGGTTCTTTAAGAGTGACCTTGTAATTTGGTATAGAACAATTGAATAGCATGGTGAACACATAGAGAGGCTACCAGGAGGGTGACATTGGGATAGATTTGAGATTTGAATGCTGACCCTTACCACTAATCATTTGGCCTAATTGTATATGCCAGGTTTGGTTGAGATTGGTCAAAAAAGTGTAGGCATGAAAAGTGGACCAAAAGGAAACACTTCTGCTTTTATAAATATATATGTGTATATACACAGCGTGGTCACAAGTAAATAGACACCACCTTTTCAGAAAAAAATTAAAATTTTCAGTCTAATTCACATGAATTGATATATTTATAATTTAATTAATATCTAGTAGATCTTCCTTTCGCTTCGTGGAGTTCGTTGATCCTTTGGGCATCGTGATAATCATCTCGTCAATTTTAGATTGTGGGATTTTTGCCCACTCTTGCTTCAAAACTTGGAGTAAATCGCTCTTCGAAGTTGGTTTTTTGGTTGTTTCTTGACTTGCCGGTCGAGTATGGCCCAGAGGGTTTCGATGGGGTACATGTCAGGAGATTGGCTCGGCCAGGGCAACTTCTGGATACCATTTTCTTCCTGCCACTTTTGGGTATTTCTAGCAGCGTGACACGGTGCTCCATTTTCCTGGAACCACGTTGTGTTCTTGTCCACGAAACCCGAGGAATAAAGTGGCAAGAGTCCTTCCTCCAATATTTCGACGTATTTCGCACAG